CCCCACGAGAGCGACAGAGACAGAGCGACGAAGTGGCTCTCGGAATGAGCGCGCTGCGGTTGCACGCCGCGAGACCGCCGGCCGGCAGACGGCCGACTAGACCGCGGGACCGCCGGGACCGCCATGCAGGCATCACTGTCCACCCCACACAAGGCGCGTGCCTTGCAGTGTGCATGCCGCGCCTTGCCGCGCGCGCCGTCAACGACTTGGGATGGGACTCGATGGGACCAAATGGGACTCGAACCGAACGTGTGACCCCACCAATGGATTGCTCTTCGAACGAGGAATCCATTGGTGGGGTCACACGTTCGGTTCGAGGCCTGTTTCGCGACTCTGGAGCTCAAAACGCATCTCGAGTTTTGGCCGCCTCCACCGGTCTTCTGGCCCACTGTCGGGGAGCAGCGAGGAGCCTGGACGGCGCGGCCCGGCGCGGCGGCCTGCCGGTGACACAACAACGCCCCGCTCCGCAATCGGCGCTGAATCGGACGACAGTGTCTCTCCCGGCGTGCCGTGTGTTGGCAGCAGTTGGCAGCAATGCGCAGCAACGGCTTGGCAGTGCTTGGCAGCCCTGCGAGGGCAGGCTGATGCCGAGCTCTGCTTTCGTCGCTGTCTCTCTCGCTCCCTCGCGGAACGCCCCGTGAGTGCGAGAGAGACAGAGCGATGCTCGCTGGCCGCTGCTCGGCGCTGCTTGGCGCGTGGCCCGCCAGCGGCGACGCCACCGCCACCGCCACCGCCGTGAGGACCTCGCGGACTTGCCGACTGATTCCGCGGGGCGCCTCTCTCTCCCTTTCTCTCGCTCGCACTCATGGGAGGTCCTGTGGGGCGCGACCCTCGTGGTCGTCGGCTCGCAGCCTCGTGTAAGCACTGCCTTCGGCGCGGTGGGTTGCCTACACGCGCAGGCGCTACTGCACTGGACCCGTCACCGCGAGGGCCAACTACACTGTGTGCAGCGCGGCATGGCACGGCGCGGCCCGGCATTACACAGGCGGTGACGTCGCTTTCTCCAAATGGCCAATGGCATGCACGGCTAGCGGTGTGGGGCCGCGCACTGCACCGCACTGCAGTGCACCGCACAGCACTGCACCGCGCCGGCCAAGTCGGCGTGATCTAGTATTACCGGGCAGCTTCGCACAGCTTCGCCGCGCCAACGTAACGTTTATTCAATACGCATAAGAGCAGGGCGTGGCGGCGCGGCGGCGGCCAACGCCTCCCTCAACGCCTCGAACGCCTCGAACGCCTCGAACGCCTCGAACGCCTCGAACGCCTCGAACGCCTCGAACGCCTCGAACGCCGCGATCCGGATAACACGTACTACGTACGCGGGGCTTGTCGGCCCGTCGCGCGGGTGTCGGCCGAGGCGGTGGAGGGGGGCGGCGGCGGGGCACCCCTTAGTGGACAAGTCACTCCAAATTATGTAATGATAAGCGCACGGCTAAGAATGCTTGCTTTGGTTTCCTTTTCTGGAGTGTCCGCCCTGGTGGTATGCTGCTGAAATTTCCCGTGGGGAAGTCACCGCACAACCGGGAAAACTGTTCAAGCTGGTCAGTTGGGGGTCGATTTTCGGACGGGGCGCGACTGGTCTCTAGATCGAACCAACTTGTACCTGATTTTCGAGTTAGGCACTGTCTGTCCGGTTGGCTCGAAGCCTTAATGCGTCAATGTGGTTCGGTCTAGTTCGAAAATGCAGCCCCCTGCTTCTGGCAGTGTGCATGACACGAGTGCCTGGCGTGCGTTCCACTCCACGCACTGTGCTGCCCGCGCTGCCCGCTGGGTGGCTCCGCCGCGGCTCCGCTGTGGCTCCGAGAGTGGCATTTGAAAGCACCGCGGCCGCGCCAAGCCGCGCCAAGCAGTGGAGTGGAGTGGACCCGGCGAGGAATATTATGCAAAAGGCTGGACATTTCACAGTGAACCGCCAGCCGTGGTGCTGCCCGAGTCCGGGCCAAGGAGGACCAGTGCAGAGCGTAGAGGAGCATTAAAGGCTTCCGATTGGCCGCAGGCAGTCTGTTCTGTCGGCTTAAGCGTGTGCCAGCGCCGGGCAATGCTTCCAAGCGCGCAGCGGCTTGCTTTAGTGCAGCCCACACCTACACCGCAAAACGGCACGTGAAGGATCCAAGGCGGGAAACGGACTCAGCGTGTGCGACAGAGAGGCTGAACGAGTGTCGTAAATTGGGCACCTGGGGTTGCAGAGTCCCTGCCGGTGCGACCTTGCGTCCTGCCTGTCTGTCTGTCTGTCTGTCTGTCTGTCTGTCTGTCTGTCTGTCTGTCTGTCTGTCTGTCGGTCTTTAGGTCTTTCGGAGTGCAAGTCCACTGCAAGACGCCCGCTCGTCGCTTCCCGGCCGAGATCGCCCGCCCCGATCGCCCCGACTATCTCCACCTGGGCCGGCGGCATCTCTCTGTCTCTCTCTGTCCGCCGCAATGGCAGTGGTGACGGGACAATCCAGGGATCGGTGGCTGCCCGACTTGCAGTCTGCTTGCAGTGCAGGCGGCAAGGGGAGCAGGGAGGTGCAGTGCAAAAACGCGGACAGGCGCCACACGCAAGGCGAAGCACGGCGAGGCGAAGCAAGTCGGCCACGCGGTTGCAGGTTGCTCCTCCACTGGGAATAACTTAACTTTCTGGGTTATCTCCGCGGCGCGTCGCCTCCGTCTGGGGCGTCCCTAGGCGTCCCGTAGGGGTGCGAGAGAGACAGAGCGACACGAGCCTTCAGCACCGGAGTGAGGGTCTTTGAGGCACCGGTGTTGCCTCTCGGTGGTCTACGAGCTCGCGCTCCCGTGCTGCAGGCAGGACGATTCGGAACGCTCTGTCTCTCTCGCACCCTGACGGAGCGCCCATGAGTGCGAGGGAGACAGAGCGACAAGGAAAAGGAAAAGCGCTGTGCCAGTGTACCCACGCTGGAGCCTTGGCTGGAGCCCGGAGGGAGAGGCCGTTTTGGAGGGTAGCCTCGCAATCTTCGATCGGCGAAGCAGTTTGTCACGTGGTCTTTAAGCTGCGCCTAACACTGGCGCTTGCTGGCTTGCTACACCAGGCAGCAACTCCCACTGGCGGGCCGTGCCGGGGGGCCACTCCTCCAGTGCCTCCAGCACGCTTCCGGACTCGCGCTCCAGCCGCTCCAGCCGCCCCAGCCGCACCGGCTTTAAACAAGGAAGGGACACTGTCAGAGCGGGCTGATTCCGAACGGGCCGTCGTCGCTCTGTCTCTCTCACACCGGCGCCCCGCGAGCGGCGAGAGCGAGAGAGACAGAGCGACGAAAGGGCCTCCGCCGTTGGGAATCATCAGCCGTCGCCTCGCCGCCCTCGGCTGCCACTTGGTGGCACTTCGTGGCTGGTCGGCTCCGAAAAGTAGAGAAAGATCTCCGGGCGAACGGCGGCCTGCTCGGCGGCCTGCCCGGCGCGCCTGCAAGCAGAGCATCGCGTTGCATAAGCGCCCTCCACGGCGTGGCGCTTGGCGCGCTTGGCCCCGCCTGGCGCTTGGAGTGCTGTTGTTATTACCGGTAATGCCATGCATCCATGCATCCCGGGCAACACATTCACACCGCATCGCGTGCCCCCCCCCCCTTTCTGGCATTCCCTGGCGCGTGCATCCGTGGATCCGCCAAGGGAAAGCCCAGGCAAGCCGGGCAAGCCGGGCGGAGGGCTTTGCTTCTCTTTCGCGGACTAATTGCGAAGGAATCTGTGACTGTGTTACGCTCCGGTCACCATGGCAACGCCCCCCCCCCCCTTTTGCTGCACGCGCCGGGCACGCTCTCACTGCAGCGCCGCTGTGCGCTGCGGCATCACTGCCAAGTTCACCGCCGCTTTGGCGCCTCGGCCGGCCCTGCACCGCACGCACGCAATCCGAGGCTTTCTAGAGAGAGGCGTTGTTTTCGTGGCGACGCCGACTGCGGACTGCAGACCGCGGGCTGCGTCACGCGAGCGGGCGAACGCGCCAGACGGCTGCAGCCGAAGCGCTCTCGTCGATCTGTCTCTCTCGCACTCAGGGCGCGTGCCGGCCGCAGTGCGAGAGAGACGGAGTGAACCGAGGGCGCGTGAGACAGAGTAATCAGGCACAAGGGAATGAATGGCCCCGGACCGGGCGATCCAGCAGAGCGCTCTGTCTCTCTCGCACCCTCGTGGAGAGTCCCACGAGTGCGAGGAAGACAGAGCGCTCGAGAGGGACTCGCCGTGGCCAGCGTGGAAATCAAAGCGACCCGGCCACTGACAGCCCAGCCGCTGACTAAAACCAACGTAGTTGATTTGTACTCGGACGAGGGAGTCCATACTACAACGTGTCCTTTTGGTGCTTGCAGCTGGTGGGCTGCGTGGCCGCGGTGGTGGCCCAGCTGCCGCCTAGACTGGAGGTCCCCGGGTCCGCGCCGGCGCCGCCCCAGCCCCGCCTCAGCCCCTACCGGCGGCCTGCGCAGCGCGCCTTCCAGGACCAGCCCCAGCAGCAGCAGCCCCAGCAGCCCCAGCAGCCCGAGCGCGTGATCCGGGTGCGGCGGCCCAGCGCGCGCGGCCGGCACGTAGTGCCCCAGCAGCCCCTGCCCGTCCTGCCGCAGCCTCGGCCGCAGCCCAAGCAGGACTACGTCAGCCTCACGCCGCGGCCCGTCAGCGAGGACCCCGACAGCGACTTCGACGCCCCCGCGCCGCCCCCGCCCACCAGAGTGCGTAGCAGCGGCGCAGTTGCATGACCAAGCCTGCCATTTTCATTCATTTCAAAATTTTGTTGTTGTTGTTTTTGCCGGAGTGCAAGTTGGTGTGCTGTTGTTGTTGTTGTTTGGAATTCGCCCGATCAGCCGCATGCTCACCTAACGCGATGGCGAAATGTTGTGGGCGTCGTTTCCTTGATTTTCTGTACTTTTAACCGGTAACAGATCTTTTTCCAATTTCGTAGATTGTTTTGTTGTCTAAAATACTGGCGCATCCTTGGCATGCACATCATCAGTGAACTTGAGTGTGTGAAATCTTTTGTTTTTGTTTTGAACTTGAAAGAAAAAAAATCTTATGTGTGTGAATGAGTATGTGTGATGGTGACAGAATATGCCTGCCTGCCTGTTAGCGCATGTTCCTCATTGGGATTGCCTGGCCTTCGGGGTTGTTGCAGGATGGTCCTGAGAACAACGTCGTGCTCCCCACCACCGGCCTCCCTCCCCCACCCCCGCCCCCCAAGCCGTCCTCCCCGCCCCCGCCCCCACCCCCGCCTCCCCAACAGGTGTCGCCGAACCCCTCGTTCCCCGCCCAGCAGCAGGTACGTGCAAATAGTGCGTCAGGTTGCCGCGGACGACGGTAGGCAGCGGTAGGCAACCCTCGTGCGTCCCCAGCGGGGACGCCTGCGAACTTCCGAGTAGGCAACCCGCTCCGCAGGCGTGTGAGTTTGTTGCCTAGCCCACGTTCTGCGGGCGCTCGCCCGCCTGCGAACTCGGGGCTAGGCAACCAGTTTCGCAGCCGTGTGAGTTTGTTGCCTAACCCACACTCCGCAGGCGCTCGGATCCTCCCAAACACACAGACAGTCGAGCGATTCGTGGCTTGTCTCTCTCGCACCCAGACAGGACGCCCCACGCGTGCGATACAGAGCTGCAGCGACGAGACGGCTCGTCAAAATAAGCCGGCAGACGTGTTTTGAGCTTCGAAATATCGCGGTCAAACGCATTAGCGCGGTCGCGTGGACCGAGTCCGGGGTGCAGGCTGACGGCCCTGACGGCGTGCTTGGCGTTGCAGGGCGCCGTGGCTGGGCGCGCGCTGGCCAACAGGCCGCTGTTCCTGCAGCCCGCCGTGTACCGCAACGCGCGGCCCGCCGGCCACGCCCCTGCACTGCAAGGCGGCTTCCGTCCGAGCGGTGCCAGCGCGGCCAGCGCCAACGAGGACGACAACGCGGTGCTGCCCAGCAGGCCGACGTCCAACGCCAACCCGCGCGCCTACCTGCCCGGCACCGGGCCCAACGCGCCGTCCGGGGCGCCGCCCGCGTCCGCGGCGAACCTGCCCCTGCTGGACCTGCCGCTGCCCGACCTGCCGGCCGCGCAGCCCCAACAGCAGCAGCGGCCTGTGTTCCGCGGCGCGGCCGCCCCCCTCACCGCCATCCCCGCCGCGCAGCTGCAGCTCGCACAGCAACTCGCCCAGCAGCAGCAGCACGCGGTGAGCGCGGGGACGACGCAAATGGCGGCCAAAAGTTTGGCAAAAGTGCCGATCACTTCACTTGCCGAAGGGCAATGGTAGTCGAGGCCCGCGATCTAGAGACAGGCTGCTTGCAGGTGCACCAGGTGAACCAGGTCCAGCTGTCCAGCGCCACCTCCGCCTCCCCCTCGCCGTCCCCCGCCACCGTGGAGGACGACGACGACGACGAGGAGGACAACGACGCCGTGCCCAACCCCAACCGGCGGCAGTCGCTGCCGTCGCTCACGCCCTTCAAGGTGACGCCGAGCAACTTCCTGGTGACGCCGTCCACCCTGGAGCTGGACGACGACATCCCCCAGAGCGGCTTCACGCCCTCCGTGCCCCGGCGGCCGCAGCAGCAGCCTCAGGTACACTCGAAATGTCTCACGAAGACCACTTCATACTGGTGGACATTGTCTCCATAACTCAAAAAGAAAATGGTTCTTTCAAGTTTTGCCATGTACAATCAACCAAGGTCTCGCTTTACAGGTGTTCAGACCGTCGCCGCCTCTGGACTTGGACAACAACGCCTTCTCCCCGGCCCCGCGACCCCAGCCCCCACAGCCCCAGCAGCAGATCCAGGTGAACGAGTTGCCACGATCTAACTGGCGTAAACTTTTGACTTACAGGCAGACCATGTTTCAGAACTTTCCAAAGGTATGGAATTTTAACTTCTGCGAGCATGCCTGCTTGGGTTTCATGTGGTGTGTTCCGTTTCCGTCAATGTTTTGAACGTCCAACTAAACATGTAATGTGTGCATGTGTCCATGCACGTTCTTTTGAAACCCGTTGCTGTTAGAGGGACTTCCCCTAGAATTTCTGCACTTGCCACATAATCGTGTTTACTCGTATTTTCGTAGTTTCACCATGGTACCTGCAATGCAAGACACCCGCTTCTGTCGATTTATTCCGATGCTCGGTTCTCTGGACAGAAAGGTGTAACGGTTGCTTTGCTTGGCCCCCCCAGCGCCGCCCCAGCCCCCCGCCGCCCGCCGCCACGCCGTCCCCCGCCCGCCGCCCCGTGCTGTTCCGGCCCGAGCGGGTGAACCAGGTGTCGCCCTCGCCCGCCCCCAACGTGCACGTGCACCAGCTGCTGCGCGAGGACGACGACTACGAGCCCGTGGTGCGTGCTGCAGCGGCTGCGGCCCCGTCGCACAGTGGGCCAGAAGCCGGTGGAGGCGGCCAAAACTCTAGACGCGTTTTGAGCTCCAGAGTCGCTAAACAGGCCTCTGATCGAACGTGTGACCCCACCAGTGGATTCCTCGTTCGGATAGCAATCCATTGGTGGGGTCACACGCTCGGTTCGAGTCCTATTCAGCGACTCTGGGGCTCAAAACGCGTCTAGAGTTTTGGCCGCCTCCACGGCCTTCTGGCCCACTGTGCGTCGCTCTGCCTCTCTCGCACCCCATCGCAACGCCCCGCGAGTGCGAGCGAGGCAGAGCGGCCTTCTGGAGCGTGAGTCTCGAGGGGCAGCCCCTGACTGTTGTTGTTGTCGGCAGGCGAGGCCCACCCCGGCCCCGAGGCCGGTCCGCCCCCAGCACGTGCCCCAGGCGCAGCCGAGGCCCGTCGTCAAGGCCAGGCCCCAGGGCACCACCGGCGGCAGCAAGTTCCAGCGGGACAAGAAGCCAGTCGCGCAGGTACGGCCCCTCGCGTCCCCATTGGGTCCCCGCAGTGCTGTGAGGCTAGCCTAAGCGTTGGTGTTTCGGCCAGGTGCTCCGCCGGTACCGCGAGGACAACCCCGACGGCAGCATCACGTGGGGCTACGAGAACGACGACGGTAGCTTCAAGGAGGAGACGATCGGCGTGGACTGCATGGTGCGCGGCAAGTACGGCTACATCGACCCGGACGGCAACCGCCGCGAGTACACCTACCAGGTACGTCTGCCCAGCCCGGCCACCGTCAGGGCACTGCTGCCACAGAATGACACCTTGACCTTGTGTGTTCGTCTCGTCCTCCAGAGCGGCATTCCCTGCACGCCCGCGCCCGCCGGCCAGGCGCAGGCCGACGACCAGGAGGGCGGCTACATCGACTACCAGAACAACCAGTACGTGCTGCCCAACGGACAGGCCATCGACCTGGACGACATGGTCAAGAACCGGAAGCGGAAACCCGTCGGCAAGAACAGGAACTTCAACTGAGCGGCCCCTGCCTCCTGTCACGCCGCCAACGTGCCAACTTTTAATTTAAAAACAGAAATGCGAACGTATTTGGCGCGGCCTCGCATTTTCGTTGGGAAGGAGAAATAAACATTCTGCCCAGGCAAGGACATGGGGTCGGTACCCAGCGGGAGCAGATTACTTGGAGCCAGTGAAAAAAATTACTGTACGTAGCAGAAAATCCTGTGAAATGTTATGATTGTACTTTTGCTGCCGACTGTGGTGGTACAGTACGTGGTAAAATGGCACAGCTTTTGCTATCGGGATTCAAGACTATGTGCTCTCTGATAATTTTCCCATGATAAGGGAACTTGAGTTTAATAGACTGCTTTAGTTTGTTGAATATGTAGAAGTGAGCATAATCACAAGTAACATATTGCGATGCAGAGCATAGCACTTATTATTAGAAGCACTGAATGAAGTAGTAAGAACTGAAAACATTTTACACGATTTTGATTGAGGACTGAACTGATTTTGACCGACTTTGCTGTTTAGTTGTTTAGGTTCCTTTAAAAATTATGTTAATGTTTATTCAATTTTAGAAGATCAGAAGTCCTAGTCTTAGTCACATGTCCATCATCACTCTTTTCCTTGAAGACCTTCCAGAATCTCTTGTAGCTCATTTCAGGTGACTTTGCATATTTTCCACATACACCTAAATAGTAGTTTATGTTGTGATATAAATTTAACTGATGCCAACTATTCTTCAACTCTTGAGCAATTATAATTTAGCAACATAGACACACGAGGTCCTGACTAAGAAAACTGTTAGTAATTAAGATGAAACTTTGATCAAGACATGTGCAGAAGCTGCTATTGTTTGCATCAAGCTTCAGGTATCTGCGAAGAGTGATGTCAAATAATTCAGACCTTCTCAGCTATTTAACATTTCAACAGTGGATGATTGTTACAAGCCATAATTATTTGGAAGGAATAAATTTCCTTCTAGCAAGTATTGAATCTTCAAAGTACAAACAAAAAAGAAATGAAAAAAAAAAAAAAAAAAAAACAGAATAAAAAACAATTGATAAAATGTTTTTTTTCTAATGATCCTTCCTCCCAACCATACATAATAAGGCCTGTTAGGAAACATAGCAAGAACAGAAAGAAAGAAGGTAAGCAAGCTTGGAAACCAAATCTTTATTACCGTGCCACGATTTTGCCAACTAAGCAGCTAAGATGAAGATGTACAGTATGCTCCAGGTTGAATCTTTAAAGTAAAAAGTAAAATTAGCGAAACTTAAACATTAATATGGGACTCTCGGCCCTCTGCGAATTGGTCCTCTCTCTCTGTCGTTCGGTGGCCCTCTCATAGGGCTGGTGATTGAGATGTCCATGTAGTCACCAATCATAAAGCTGCAAAGAAACACTGCTGTCAGTTTCAACAAATAGGATTGAAAACACATGAATATTGGAAAGTCAGCCACTCACCGGCATTGCGCCAAAGTTTTGCTGTCATCAGCTCCTTTCATTCCAGCAGTGGTGTTTCCTATGTGACGCATACGGAAGCAGACAGGGCCTGGTCCCATGTTTGGCGCAACCAGACTGAAGTCAAACACCGTTCCCTTCCTACGAGCATCTGGGTTAACTTCCTTCATGAGACAGGTGATTTCACGTAAAGTAGCATCCATCCTACAAAAATATAATTGGCAATCATGGAAACTGTCAACCTACACAGGAAATGATTGGAACATTGATTGAAAAAGAAATAGTGTACCATGTATAAATTTGTGACTCATTGACAGGCACATTGCCTCGACTGTAGTCCTCTGGAGAGTTGTGACGTCCATTGCGGCAAAAGACCCGCAGCAAAAGAGGGCAAGTCTGAAAAATGCAAGAGACAAACATAAGTACATACAGCAAAGAAATGCGAGAAGGCAGAGCCGGCATAACCTCAAATTAGGAGGAAGTCAAACAAGTCTAACAACAATATTCAATAAATTCTAATGTAGCATAAAGGCCTATGTTAAAGGATAAAATATTTAGGAAACGTATTTCAAAAACAATTAGCACAATAAAGTATTGATAACATAAAAACTCAACTGTACCTTCTCTCTGTCAACGGGTTTTTCTGCCTCAGGTTTGTCGATGTAAGACTCAACCGCAAGCCCAGCCATTTGAAAAAAATTGAATGAACAATTCAAATAATTCTTTGGAATAAAACTCAACCGAGATGCTTGCGAACGCAAATATTTCGAGCGGCGAAACTACAAAACTCTAAGTTGAGTTGTTGTTTACCCACGGAGGCGATCACACATATGAAAAATACGGTCATTTTATGAGAAACTCAGTAGCCGCTAAAAAGTTGAAACCGCATGGAAAACATCATCCAAAGGATTACTGTTCGTGAATCAAAGATTAACCTTTATAGTTGAAAAATGTTGACGACGAAAACCTTTTTAAGGAAGACCAAACGCGGCAATATTCTGAAGGTACTGTTCGTTCTATGGTTAACAATGCAGACGGGCGTTTGTGAGTAGTGAGTTTTGGAGGTTATCACAGAAACGTAAACAATAGTGTAAAGTTTGTTTTTCCACTGACAAATTTCTTCTGAGCTAATTTTAAAGTAATTTTAGTGATAAATTCATTTGTTTAAAATTGCAACCTGGATTATATCCCTTCTCCTGATGTTCTTTATGGTTTCATTTTTGATGAATGCATTACGGGTGTACGCCATTGGGTTGTTCATGTTTCATTGTATTGTCGTTGATTGTTCAGATTGTCCGGGAACACTACCTTCGAGATGACATCTGGTGTGGCTCGTCGCTGTGCAAAAATTGTTCTTTGAAAGAAAAAGATAAGGTTCTTGATAAGGAAGTCATCAGCAACGTGAGCAGTGTGTTCTCATTTCCCCATTACTTGGTGCTGGACACCAATGTTGTTTTGCATCAGGTGCGACATTAATGTTTGAATCCAGCTTATCAGCAATGTCTTGAATTGTCTGTAAATGTTTGTGACAATTGATATTCTTTTCCGTTTTTAGATTGATGTTTTAGAAGAGGATGTTTTAGAAAATGTTATCATCCTTCAAACAGTCCTTGAGGAAGTGAAACATCGTAGCTCTCCAGTCTACCGTCGCCTAAAAGATATAATAGAAAACCCAAATAGAAAATTCTATATTTTTGTTAATGAACATCATAAGTAAGATAATTTTCTGTTGTTGAAATAGATTAATGAAAACTGCCTCTTAATAGTTAACTTTGTGTGCTTCTGTTTAGAGATACATATGTCGAAAGAAAGCCAGGAGAGACAGCCAATGACAGGAATGATCGAGCTATTCGAGTTGCTACCTCTTGGTATGCGACTCATCTATCTGGAAGTCAACCGAAGGCTAAAAATAAACATGTTAGTATGGTATTGCTTACTGATGATGCAGACAACTGTCAAAAAGCCAAAGCAGAGGGTCTCATAGCTTCCACAGGTATTTTTCAAATGTTGAGCGTGTTTTGTATTTGCTTCAAAGATCCTCTTTGATTTGCAATTTTAATATTTTGTAACAATTTAATATTCCAGTTTATGATTATGTAAAATCATTGCAAGATGCCCCTACCTTGTTGGACAAACTGTCAAAAAAGGATGGTGTATTTGAGGGGGGTTCAAAAGAACCCCTATTTCCTCTTCATCTATCTCCCAAAGAAATCCAGGATGGACTTAAAGCAGGGAAACTTCATCAGGGAACATTCCTTGCCTCTAGAGAGAACTTTTTGGAAGGGTCAGTAAATGTTGAAGGTTTTGAAAAGTTTGTAAGTATCACAATCTTCCAAATCTTGGCTCAGTTCCAAATCTTGGCTCAGTTCATTAATTAATTCAGTCCTAAGTTGTGCTTCTCACACATTTTTTCATCTTATGTGAATAGATCCTTGTCCAAGGTCATGCTGGCTTGAACAGGGCAGTGGATGGGGACACTGTGGCACTGGAGCTCCTGCCTGAGAGTGACTGGGTTGCTCCTAGTGACATTGTGCTCGAAGATTCTGAGGATGACCCAGGTAATGTAAAACAAAAAGTATGCTTTTCTTAACCAACTTGTCCACAATGTTCTATTTTTCATTTGTTTAAATAAATTTTAGGTGATATATTGGATGAGGAAGTTAAGATGGAGAAGGAAAAAGCTAAAGCAAAGAAAGTGGAAAGGGAACCTACAGGTCGGGTTGTTGGAATAATCAGACGTAAATGGAGACAGTACTGTGGAATCCTTTTACCGAGCCAAGATAAAAATGTATGTTAAGTCCTCCTGCAAATGTTTTCATAAACACAAGTCCAGATTGTTGGGCACCTTTTTATAACAACCAGAAAACTTTCTTTTTCAGAGTGTTCGACACTTATTTGTACCAGCAGAAAGGAAAATCCCCAAAATTCGTATTGAAACAAGACAGGCAGAAAAATTGAAGAGCCAACGTATAATTGTTGCTATTGATGCTTGGCCACGAACATCAAGATATCCTTTGGTAGTTAAAAATATACCATTTTAATAATTTTATCTGTCATCATACTGAAAGTGATTTGTAACTATATTTACTTTTTCCTTTTAGGGTCATTTTGTCAGAGCTCTTGGTAATGTTGGCGATAAGGATACTGAAAATGAAGTGCTCTTGCTGGAACATGATGTTCCTCATAGCAAATTCTCCGACCAAGTACTCAGCTTCCTGCCCAAATTGCCTTGGATCATCACAGAGGAGGTATGTCAAGCAAATTTTCAGGTTTTCCTTTTTTTATTATTATTAAGTAAATTTTTCAAGACCTGGTGCATTATGGTGCATCATTCAGGTTGTACAGCTCAATGTCATTACCATTTTCAGAATTTCCTGAAACGTTTGCATTTTGATTATCTGTTCCACCTCGTCCTCTAAGTCTTGCTGCACCTGCTGATGCTGTATTGACTAGGCGTGGCATCACTGCATTGATTGGTAGATTGTCATGAGTGCCAGGATGTTGTATGTCACTGAACAAAGCCTGTAGTAGATAAACATTTTCTCTGTTAAGAAATCCACTCAACAATATATATTTTTCTAAATGTTTGTTTGGACATACCTGCAAAATTGATCTTCTTTCTGGGCTACTAATTGTTAGTGGACTGCTACTGTTGCTTGATAAATGTGTATTGATCACAGCAGGTGGGTTGGTTTGGAGAAAGCTGCTGCTCGCTGATCCTAAGACACTTGTTGAAGATAGTCTGATAGTGCCTTCATTCCCATTTAAGGCGGGAACTAGAGTCAGATTGATTGGTGGCGGTAGTGGAGGATTTGCTTCCTGTCAACCATGGAGCTTGTTTCAATTTATTACCAAAATATAGCACTTATAGAACATGAGAGCAACTAGGCATTACTTGGGGCACATTTGCTGCTGGAGATCTTATTGCCCTCTCGTGATGTTTATTTCTCCACCGTCCTGTATTACTACGACCTCCACTGCTGGCTGATAACCTCCTCAATGCAAGGCTGACTGGTTTTGACTCTTCTGTTGAGTTATGGCTGTTCTGAAGCTGTTTCAGCTTGTTGCTTGAAAGAGTATGCAAATATTCCAAGGCCTTCTGCTTTCCCTTTGTCAAACAGAAAATTTTCAGAAAAGCAGTCTATTTTTCTTTTTAATTTTAGAACCTGGCTTTAGTCAACCTGTACCTTTATATCATGGATGAAACTGTCAACCACATCCTCTTGTGAAGAACTACGAATCTTTTCCCAGCGTGTAATCAATGCTTTGTCATAGAGAGCAATGTAATTTTCCATCTCTTTTATTTCTGTGGTCAAGTTTGTTCATTATACAGACTCAAATGATCAATGAGATGAATTTAATTAGGATCTCTGTGATACTCACCCTCCTCTTTTATGGCTGCAAGAGATTTATCCATTGCTCGGCATTCTTTTCGAACAGCTTTGCGTTGGTTTTTCACCTGTTGAATCCTTACATGAGCAGCTCGAGCCTCTCGGTGGATTGCCCTCAATTCCAGTGCTTGAGTATCTAATAATTCCTGCAATTTGCTTAAAAACAAATGAAAGGTATCGTTTGTGCGTCGTGTTAGGTAAGAGGGTACTGACGAGGGTCCAGCCAACCGCTAACTACCTTGGATAGGTGTACATGACGTGATTCAGATCAGCCGTGGAATGTATGTAGTCCAGCAAACGATCCAGTTGTTCGCAAAAGGGCCCGAGGTCTTTGGCTTTGAACCGGCCTTGCTCAGATGGATCAACGAACCTGGAGCAAGAGTTTGTCTTATCGTGTTGGTGTCGCCGGAAAGTGCTTCCTCCTCTGTCAGCCGCTTTACCTGTAGCCGGAAGACGCCGTGCTGAGGATGCTGTGGCTGTCGCTGTCGCTCGCGGCGGTGTTGACGTTGACGGCGAGGGTCTCTGACGCGGTCCTCCGCGGCGGTGGCCCGGCGTCCGGGTCCCCTCCCGGGTCTCCCGATGTGAGCGCTAGCCCGGCCTCTGGAGCGCTGCTACGGACCACTCGGACAGGCACGCCTGGGTCGTTGGCTGCCGTGCGGCTGGCGCGTGTGCGGCCCAGCATCTTGACGCGGCTCAGGATTTTGTCGAGGAGTGCCGGGGAGGAGGCGGTGGCTGCCGTGGTGGTGGTGGGCGGAGGCGCGGTCGCGGCGGGGGCGGGGGACGTCGTCGGGGACGTCGTCGGGGAGGCCGAGGACTCGAGCTTGTTCGGGTCAGGCGCACCTGCACCCGCCCCTGTCGGCCCTGTCGGGTCGTTGGTCATTTTGGTGGCTGTCGGCTGTTCCTGCTTGCCGCTTCCCTCCATGTTTTGCCGCCACCACGCCCCTCACTGCATGTCCTCCGGGCCTCCGCCGCGCGCCCCCGCCCACTCCATGGTGGCGGCCAGGAAGGCCATGGTGCGTGCGGTGGCCGCGGGGCGCCACGCCACTGTGCAGGCCGCGGTGCACTGTGGTGCAGGTGGCAGGCAGGTGGTGCAACCCCGCCGCGGCGACGGGGCGACGCCAACAATGCGAACTTCCCCCGGCCCGGCCGGCCCCCCTTTGACCCTTGCCTGCAGCCTGCAGTGCCGGAGCTGGCCGGAGTACTCGGGACTTCCCCATGGCGTGGCTGGCTTAAAATCGCGACATCAAGTGACGGACTTTCGTGCTTTTTCGGTTTCAGGATTATGCAAAGCGTGTGGACCTCAGGGGTCTGACCATTTGCTCTGTTGACCCGGTTGGCTGTACTGATATTGATGACGCACTGCACTGCAGAGAGCTGGAAAATGGCAATTATGAGGTAAGCATGATTTGATAGTTCTCTAGATGTTAAAATTTCCTTGTTTGATAGTTGACATTGCGTTTGTGTGCATTCTAGGTTGGTGTGCACATTGCTGACGTTTCCCACTTCATTCGACCCGGCAATGCGCTTGACAAAGAAGCTGCCTTACGAGCAACAACCGTCTATCTGGTGGACAAAAGGATTGACATGGTTCCTGGTAGGGATTTGGGGCAAGGAGCTTTGTCATATTCAGCGCAGCTTCTACTCTAAACAGTAAAAGTGTAATTTTTACTTTACAGAGCTACTTAGTTCAAATTTGTGTTCCCTGAGAGGCAATGTGGAACGTTTTGCATTTTCATGCATTTGGGAAATAACGAAGAATGCAGAGATTGTCAATACAAAATTTCACAAGAGTGTTATTTGCTCTAAAGCTGCTCTAACTTATGGTGAGGCTCAGGCAAAGATTGATGACAAAAACCTGAATGATGATGTTGCTAAATCTCTAAGAGGTTTGAACTCGCTGGCAAAAATCTTGAAGAAGAGAAGGATAGAAAATGGGTGAGTTCTGGACCGTGACAATATGTGTCTCCTTTAACCATTTGTAGACAACTAATTTTGTAAATGTCCAACTTTTTACCTTTTTTTTAGAGCGCTTGTCTTGGCCTCACCAGAAATCCGATTCCAAGTGGATAGTGAGACTCATGATCCCATTGAAGTAGTTGCCAAGAAAATGTTAGAAACCAATTCTATGGTTGAAGAATTCATGTTGTTAGCCAATATTTCAGTAGCGGAAAAGATTTTCCAAGAATTTCCTGATTGTGCTATGTTGAGAAGACATCCCCAGCCACCACCTTCTAATTTTGATCCCCTTATCAAAGCAGGCAATCTCCAGGTGTGTGTGTGTGTGTGTGTGCTACAAATAGAAATACTGTCAAACTTATTAATTATCTGTCACATTTTTGTATATTTGTTTGCTGTTTACAGGGCTTTGAGATAAATGTGGAATCTGGAAAGCAGCTTGCAGAATCTCTGGACTTGGCATTAAAACCAGAGAATCCATACTTCAATACTATGCTGAGAATCATGGCCACACGCTGCATGATGCAAGCTGTGTATTTTGCTAGTGGTATGTTGCAAAAAGAAGAATTTGCCCATTATGGACTGGCCTGTCCTATTTACACACATTTCACTTCTCCTATTCGAAGGTATGAGTACCTCAAATTTCTCTTTTACATAGTAAGATTTGAAGTAATTTTTGAGTTTATAATTTATCTTATTGTAATTTAGATATGCTGATATCATCGTCCATCGATTGCTGGCTGCCTGCATAGGAGCTGATTCAACCTATGCTGACCTTCTAGATAAACGTAAAAGCCATTCCCTTTGTCACAATTTAAATTACCGCAACCGGATGGCTCAATATGCTGGTAGAGCCTCTGTAAACCTTCATACTCATGTAAGTTGGAAATTTTCCTGCAACTTAAGATGGTACATGGCTCAGATGTAATTCCCTTTGCTCTCTCCCATAGCTTTTCTTCAGAAATCGAGTTCAAGATGAGCAAGGATATGTCTTGTATGTTCGTAAGAATGCACTCCAAGTTCTCATTCCCAAATATGGCTTAGAGGGAACATTATATTTGGCACCGCCAAAGGGGCAGGTGGCTAAAGTAAATTTTACATACAATGAAGAGGTAGGTGTATGTGTGTCTTTACTTGCATGAACTTTTTAATTAAGAGCTTTGTGAGAGTGCTGACACAATTTTTAATGCAGGAACAAAGCCAAAGCTATGGATCCATTAAGTTCCGTGTATTTGATCCAGTGACAGTGCAACTGAGTTTAGACCGAACAAATGTTCAACATGAGAAATTAATGCTGCTACTTGTAAAGCCGGAGGTAATGTGTGGCTCTCTAAATTGTTGTGATATTGTTACACTACTGTAGCTCATTTGAATCACTTATTCTCCCTTGTTTGGTTCAGATTCCAGATTTTAGTGTTCCCTCTCAGGCTGCGGCTGATGAAGCTATGGATGTTGATCAAGTTAAGGATACTGCAGCTCCTTCACAACCTCCCTCAAAACGTCAGAGAAAATCTAAGTAAATGTTTTCCAATTTATTATCATGTAAGGATTGTATAAATTTTATCCAAAACAAGTAAAGTTACTTAAATTAACGTTTTTTACCACAGTATTGAAATTATTTTATTCACGTATGTCTGGGAAAAGTTTCTAAGAAAATTACCAGAAGCATTAACACTGATTAACACACTTAAATTTATATTAAAATCACAGATGTCAAGATCACTTGCCAATTTCCATACAAAGAGCAAGGTCTAGGGGACCCTCTTCAGCTACCACAAGTAGAACTGCACTGATTATTTTAACAGAAAACAAACAAAACTTTAAAGAAAAGTTAGAAAAATAGGTAACAATAAGCCTACCTCAGTAGAGGCAGGAATAGGATTATGTAGAATGTTTTGCTGTCAGAACCTTATTTCCATTTTCATTTTTCTATAACATTTACATTTTGGACAATAGTTTAAGCAGTGAATCTGCATGAATGTGCACAGGAAATCTACCAACCTGCTGTCATCTTAGATGAGTACAATACTGTTGGGAACACAGTGATTGTCGCTTATAAATAAAATAGAGAACCTCATAGACGAAGCTAAGCAGTGCTTTCAAAATAATTTTTTAAATACAATTGTCAATCATGATGTTAGTGATGCTTTTCTTCGAGACAGTCTCTTTGATGGGGGTACTAGATGAGAAGGAAGTTCTGCAGGAATATCATGTCCATCCACCTTCACTTTGATCAGATGCATTGCTAAAGCAAATTCATCAGCATCAAGCAGTCCATCTCTATCCACATCTGCTAAATGCCAAATACGGCTTAGAACTGAGTTGGGGAGCTTTGACTTCAAAAGCTCGTCTTTTGCGGCTGAAATCAAATAAATTTTAAGATAAGTGAGTGTAAGAAGCTTTGCTTTGGAGAGACGACACACATTTTTAGGCTGGTTATTACCTGCTCTTGTGAGTTTTCCTCCAACCTGTTCCAAAGAGTTGAATAAATCATCATAGATTGGCTTGCTCTTCGCAACAATCCACTCAAGATCCCCATGACCAGCCAATACACCCTCATTACGCCCAAACCCAAATGGACTTTCACGGTCGTCTATGTTAGCAAATGCTCCTCCTGGGAAAATGTTAAAGGTTACATAAATGCTCTGGTTTGAGAGCTGTCAAAGAACACATGCCACACATACCTGTAACAGTATCTGTGCTGGCAAATTTCTCCTCTTGCACTGGCATAAGTGACATAATTCGAGTTATGTCAGAGGCCAACATGTCATCAACAGTTTTAAGAAGTTCTTCATCAAGCAGCTCAAATTTGCTGAAGTCATGAAGTTCTAGCTGATCCTAGATCCAGAGAACAATCTTTAAAAATTAAAAAGTCTTCAAGTAGCAAAGAAAATAATAAATTTCTGTGGGTAGCAAACCTGCATTAACTTAATATCAGGGAAGTCACCAGGTGCAATCTTAAGTGCCCACTGTAAGTGTTCGTATATTTTAGGTAAGTTATTGATCAATTCCTTCTTTTTAGCATCCCTTCCAAAAAGCCGTGGCATCTCCTTTGCAAGTGCTCCAATAATATAAGCATGCACCTGAAGCAAAAAATTATTTTATTAGTACCGTAACATAATTTTTTATCAAGGTCACAGGAAACATTGCACAGCACCTTGGCTAGACGGGCTCGTTTGCTTAGATCGTTGAGCTTTCTTAATTCAGCATACTCAGGTAGGGACCTCAAGTCCCTAAACAGATCTTCTTTTTCATCATCAAACAACCTATAAAAACAAAATATAATAAATCTTTGTCATGCATGATATAGAAAAAATGCAATCATACGGAGGAAAGACTTACTTTCTATTAAGGTCATTTTCGAGAGGATTATCCCAAAATGAACCAACATACACCCTTGACACCTCAGGAGTGGTAAAAACTTTTCCCAAGGACCACATAAGTGCTCCATACACTCGCATTAGCTGTTGATGATTAATTTTATCAGCCTTGTTTAAAAGAATGCGTATCTTATCCTCATGGCCATGAAGTGCCTTCAATGACCGTTTAAACTCATCAGATATATCCAGCTTGTGAGCATCGAATAATAATATTATACGGTCCACTCGGCCAGCAAACCATTCAAGTACACCACTAAAATCATAGCCACGATCAACCCTCTGCTTCTCTCCAGAGAGAATGCCAGGGGTGTCAATCAGTGTCATGCCAGAGAGGACTGGTGAAGGTACAAGTGAGCACTGGAAGCGCTTCAAAAATGGGTTTCCAAACTTTGAAAGTTGGTTGAACTGTCTTGAAGAGTCCACAACAAGAGCATTGCCGGGAATAACCTGCTCTCGTTCCCCTTTCATCAAGACAATAAATTTATCTGTTGTGGGCTCTGGTCCGATTGACATTCCAGGAAAATCTCTTTCAATTAGAAAGCGGATGAATGTTGTTTTTCCAGTAGAGTACTGACCCATAAGAAGCACAATGGGCTTTGCTTCAAAATCTGGAGCATTGAGCTTGGGTCCATGGAAATCATGGAACAGATACTTTTCCTCCAGAGGCAATAATTTATTATCGTATATGCTTTTCAAACCTTCTGATATGCTTGTATATTCCGAACTGCCTTGAAACCATCTGAAAGAAAGGAATAATCCAAAAGCACGGGTGATTTTAATGTAGAATTAGTGAGGCACACAAGGACGTTAAAGGGCACAGACAAGGTAAAATCAATATTCTAACAAAATGTAGAAAAAGATTCTGATATTTCCCCCCACTGTATGACTTTTTTCTGAACTTGTTAATTAAGGTAACGTAACCTCACAGATACTAATAATCCGCCGGCTAGAAAATCCAGTTCCCGGCAACATACTTACTTGGTAAAATATCTGCAGTTTGCACGTCGCAGTTGTGGGCAAATGTTCACCAGAACATGTCGATAAATCATTTTGATTTTTACAAAATAAAACAACTAGCAGTAAAAGCCACAGCGGCGGCTAGAGATCACAAGCAGACAGCTTTTTCTTCCACCGCCTTGTCTGTCAGTCTGCAAAGACCGTCCTCCCCCCTCCTTTCATTTCGGTACTTCCCCCTTCCCTGCCCTTCCCCGCCGGCTGGCCCTCCCTCCCCTTGCCCCACCTTCCCCTTTAAGCCCCTTGCACGCTTAAGCCTTGAGCTCCCACTTGTCCAACTCCCACTCCCCTCGTCCGTAAGGACAACGTCAGCTGTTGGGTAATGTTTCCGTGCTGCTACATCAACAAGTCGTCAGTTGGGGCGGAGTGTTTCTCTCAACGGGGTGAATACCGATGCGGGCCACCAATTAGGATTTGATTGACTTAAGATAAGACTAGTAGATATTTTCCTGGGTGCAGAAGAAACTGAAGGAGTGCAAAAATGTATAGGTCTTTTGTTAGAAACAGCCAAATGCTTGCTGTGAAGAGACTGCTGAAGGTGCCTGGTTGCAAGCAAAGCCTCAACCCACTGTGTCTCTCCGTTCACACATCAGATTTTAGCACTTGTCAGGTAGACAGCGTTGCTAAGGTGAGGTTTTCAAAACTAACTTCCAAAATTCATAACAACTTTTGGTTTTCGTGGATTAAAATGGAAGGAAGTGAAATGAATGTTGCACAAATAGGTTTAAATTTATTTCCCAATTCAGATCAAGGCATCTGATCCATTAACTGATTCCTACGGACGATATCATGACTACTTGAGGATATCATTGACAGAGAGATGCAACCTAAGATGTAAGTTAACAAATTCAAGTTCTGTAAAAAATTTCTGTTTCAAAATAAAGATTTGTGAGCTTGAATTTCAGGTGAATACTGCATGCCAAGTGATGGAGTTCCCTTAACGCCTAAAGATAAACTCCTGACAAGTGATGAAATCTTGTATTTGGCAAAACTGTTTGTTCGACAAGGTGTGACAAAAATTCGTCTGACAGGAGGGGAGCCCACTGTCAGAAAGGATATTATAAATATTATTGGTGAGAATTCATTTTGCCTATAAAGTTAAAAAAATCAATTGAAACTCTTTTCCACTAAACATTTCCCTCATGTTTTTCTTTCAAATTTTTCTCACCTGAAGCAAGGTTGAAAGAATTAGATGGCCTTAAGACAATTGCAATGACAACTAACGGTCTCACACTAACTCGCCAGCTAGTTGGTCTACAAAAGGCTGGTTTAAACTTGCTGAATATTAGCCTTGATACCCTCCAATCTGCTCGTTATGAGAAAGTTACACGAAGAAAAGGTTGGGAGAGAGTCATTGCTGGCATTGATCTGGCCATACAACTAGGTTTCAATCCTGTTAAGGTATTAATATATAATTGCAACGAATATGATTTACTGTCTAGCAAAATCATTATAATACATAAATCTCATATTTTTATTAACAGGTTAACTGTGTGGTAATGCGAGGTTTCAATGATGATGAAATCTGCGACTTTGCACGTTTTACATTGGATCGAAATGTGGACGTTCGATTTATTGAGTACATGCCTTTCAGTGGAAATGGGTGGCACGACAACAGAATGGTATCATTTAAAGAAATGCTATCCATATTGACAAAGGAGTTCCCAGGTTTTGAGGCTCTTAAAAATGAACCTAATGATACATCAAAGGTACAAAATATAATTTTTATCTTTTAACCCTTTGCACAGTGCTGCTATGAACTAAATGAGAAACAATAACAAGTCATTTTTATTTCAGGCTTATAAAGTGCCTGGCTCAAAAGGAAAACTTGGTTTTATAACTTCCATGAGCAATAATTTTTGTAGCACATGCAATAGGATTCGTTTGACAGCTGATGGAAACATAAAAGTGTGCCTTTTTGGAAATGCTGAGATATCATTGAGGTAGAACGTCATTTTAATGTGGTAAAGTCATGTGCGTTCTTTCTGAATTTTCAAGTGCATTTTGGTTTGTAGAGACGCAGTACGGAATAACAGCAGTGAAGATGACATTATGACAATGGTGGGACTGGCACTTCAAAGGAAAAAGAAGCAGCATGCTGGTAAGGTTCAATTTTTTCACTAAATTAGATTTGATGCATGTTCAGCGATGGGACCCAGAAGAAAGGGAGGAACAACCCAGACTTGGAAAATCAAATTTCCTTTTTTTCTCAGGAATGCTGAATCTTCCTCAGATGCAAAATCGGCCAATGATTCTAATTGGAGGGTGAAAGTCATAGTCGTATGTGTAGGTATTGTCAATTAAAATCAGTTAAACTGAGTCCGAGATATAAGATAATTGATTATAATTTTATGCTCTTAAGTAAAATTGATTGTACTAAAAATAACAGTATTTTGTAGTGTTTTGACACAACTTGGCCAGTCTGGGAACTTATAATTTACATTGAATGTATTGAAAGTTCAAAATTGACCACTTTATAATAATGACAATGTTCTGCTCTTTTGACTTTCATTTTGAGTAAGCTTTTCCATTTCTTTTCAGGAGTCTCACGGACTGCCAACAAGAACATCAACAGTTTCTTGCCAAACACATCCTTTTTAAATTTTATACCCATCAATCATTCTATGAATAGGTTTTATGAAACAAGATCCATATCATACACACATGGAAATAGAAATATGAACATCGATTCAAAACACAATGACAAGTTGACACATGTGGATGCTGCTGGAAAGGCAAACATGGTAAATGTTGGTAAAAAAATTGTGAGTTCAAGATCTGCTACAGCATGTGGAAAAGTTCTGGTGGGACCTAAAGTAAGTGCGCTCATAAAGAGCAATAGCATGAAGAAAGGTGATGTTCTCACTGTGGCAAGAATTGCCGGCATCCAGGGAGCAAAGAAGACTCCAGACCTAATACCCCTGTGCCATAACATTTTTCTATCTGGTATTAAACTTGATGCTACACTTGAAGATGGAACTGACACAATAATCATAACAGCAACAGTAGAATCAGAGGGAAAGACAGGGGTGGAAATGGAAGCATTAACAGCAGTAACAATTGCAGCACTGACAGTTTATGACATGTGTAAGGCTGTAACTCACAACATAGTGATACGAGACATCAAACTAATGGAAAAAACTGGCGGAGTACGGGGTGATTTTAAAAGAAATTCTGAAGACTGAAATGATGTTTGATGTTTCTGTGATAAAACCAAGATAACTTACAATTTTATGTAAAATGATCTAAATTTTTTATATCAAATATTTGTATAGTCATACAAACGATCAAATGCATTCCAATGGCTCTAAATGTGTAATAAATATGTGCAAAAATATATTTGGTTTTCATTTTCTGGGTGAATTCATTTTATCAGATCCTTATTGCTACACTTTTTCAAGCTACTTGTGATTGAGATTTACAAAAAATTAATTCAGCTCTAGCAGGAAACCTAGGTTTCACATCATAACACTGTTTGAAAGTTTTACCCTCATATATTAATAGCGGCCTCTACTACTGGCTGGGCCTGCTCCCCCTTGCTGAATATTAGAGGCCTTGGGTGGGTCTTCAAGGCTTCGAACAGAAATAGTTTGTCGAGGTCCGGTGCGCCAAGCATTACCTTTCTCATCAACTACACTTGCCTCTATAGTTAAAACATACTGCCCACCAACTGAAAATCCCATGAGAAACTCAGCAGTGAAGAAATCACGATGGGGTGTCACTGTTTGTGTAAGCATTGAGCCAGCCTCAGTCATCTGGAAATGGTGAAAGAGAAATCAGAAAACACGCAAGATATTATTTTTAAGGCAGTGCTACAACATGATCATACCTTGGTATCTAATTGAATGTTGGGCCTGGTCTGAAGTTGGGAATTAACAGAAACAATGACCCTGTTGACCATTCGGAAAAGCCCTGGACGTTTTCCATGCTGAATTACACCCTCCACTTTGACAGCCAGTTGAGAACCACCTTGCACACTGATATTTTCACCAAGAACTCTGGGCTGAGGGCTGACTGCAAGCTACAAAGAGGAAACATTGATGTTACAAATTTCAATCATTGTTTTCATTTCCTTTTTTATTTCTGCAAGCCTTTGTTTTTTATTTCTTGGTCTTATTTTTAGACATACCTTGACACTAGTTGACTGCAGCACTTGAAAGAAAAATCGTGGTATGCACAACGATGTATTGGCCAAAATTTCTGCTTGTCTGAGTACTACATCCACATGCTGTAAGAAAAAAAATGATTAAAGCGGTTCAAGGAGACAAAATAGTTAAAACAATTTAAAAACAAGGTTTGTTACCAGGTGTGTAACAGGTTTGACTTCTTGCACAGTGGCTATTGCTTGAGCCAACCCTGCTGCCTCTTGACAGCATTTCACCATGTATTGCGTTTCTAAACTGCACTCTTGAAGACTTCAGAACATAAAATAATGAAATGTAAGTGCACATTGCATAGGCGCAAACAGATACGGAAAGAGAGCTTTCACATCATACTAACCTCGCATCAAATGCTGTCTCTTCTTGAAAATTAGTAATAACTACACGTTCAATACTGTGAGCCATTAGAACGCACATTTGTTGCAATCTGGAAATCACATTTAGGAAAAAGTACGCCTGAATGAATTTTTGTTTACTAGCGAAGTATATAGCAAGGACCATATGTATTTCTTAATGATCTGGTATAAAGGATACATTTGAATATTAGCTAAAGAGCACTTGTCTGCATCAAACGCTGACTGATACAGTTTCCAGTACATTTCACCACATGCTCGTAGATCCTTTGCACATTTACGCAGCTGAAAACCAAAAATAAAGTTGCACGTCACAAAATGGGGGAAGAAACATAAGCTGAATTCAATTGAGTTTTAATTATTTACCTCAGGAGTAATATGACCAAATCTTAGTAGGTCATCGCGAGTGGCAGTAGCCATAGACCCAGCAACAGCTGGTGGAGGGGATGTGCAATAACTGCGACAGCAGTGAACCACTTGGGCTAAAAGTTGAAGAAATTCTCCTCTGAGTCTAATGAATTCAGATTGGAATTGGAGACAATGAGCAGGAGTACTTGCAGCCTGGATAAAAGCGAAAACAGAAAATAAACACTGCAACTTAGGATACAATAAAAAAGATGTTGCCCTAAATTAAAATTTTAATACCTTCAGTGCTGCAGCTGCTTTGCAATAATGTGAGCTTGCTAGACTGATTCTTGATTCCAAACAAGAGTTGGCTTTGTTATCATGAAGCTGGGCCTCCCCAAAACTTAGTTCTTCTAAACAAACGAGCCAGAAATGGAAATGTTCCGATGAAACATGATCCTTTAAACGAGCTGCAAGCGTGGAGGCAATTGCATGATGTCCATATCTGGCAGCAGCTCTCATAATTCTGAAGTTTGCCCATTGATCGTTTCGTTTTATAACATTTTCAACAACATCACTAGCTTCTGGATTCCAGCTAAACCCAACAGCGGATTGGAATACTAAAGTGCACAGCATAACCTGACGCATAGAGAAGGATAGTAGTAAATTTAAAATAATTACAATAGATTCCTTGAAGTTTTTAAAAAAATATACTACCTTGAGTTTGTTTTGCTCCAAAGACATTGGGGCAGCAATAAGTTCCTTCAACTTCAGCAAAATGTCTGGTAGCAGTGAGAGCAGAGCTGAGGGTCGCAGGTTACCAATCGCTCCCAGAGCTTCACATAGTTCTGAGTTACAAGAACCTAAAACCAACATAAAAGTAAACTCATGTAAGCATAGTTAGTATTTGTACTTGCTGTTTAATGTGGGGTAGTAATTATTAATTTTAAAAAGTCCTTCCATCACTCTAGACTCACCCGACATTAGACGAGTTCCAATAAGTTGAACAAAGTTGTGGCAGAGTTGTCGATTGACGGTACAGAGACTTACTGCACATTGTAAACAAATTTTTGTTTCTTTGAGATACTTCTGACTTTGCCCTACAGTAATGAGAAGAAACAATGATTCAACAGCATCTGCTGCTTGGGAAATAGCTTCTTGAGCCCCAACAGAACTTTGCTCCTCCTTGAAACTAAGAGAAAAATTCACAAACATTACAAGGCAAGGCATGTAAATCAGTAAATTTAAAAGCATTGAACAAATTAATTAAAAAGAAAAATACCTGTAACAGACTATCCTGGTTATAACCCGAACAGCTTTAGCAGCAACTACTGGATCACTTGAAAAACATGTTCTATTGCACAATTCCATTAGTGGTGAATCTGTGAGATGAGAGAAAAATGTAAAGAACACCCTCAAATGCCTTTCAAATGTTTAAGAATCGGTTGATTTACCATGACAAAGGTGAGAATGGCAAGCCGCAGCTGATTTTGCTAGAACTTGAAGGACATCCAAGCAACGACTTAGAACAGCTTGTGATGAAGAATTGTCAGCAAGACGAACAACTTCGTCCGTTGTGCCAGCTGGCCACAAGTGAGCACACTCCGCAGCAAGAAGACGTAAGCCATGTAAAGCTTCTTGTTGCACAACAGGTCTTTGGTCATCCTTCAAATGTTGGAGTAAAAGACTGACCTAGATAATGGGGAAAAAAGTGTTAAAGTTTTTCTTTGCCAATGAAGACACAATAGCTTGCACTGCTTTAAGAGTTACCTGCTTGGGAACATTCACTAAAGTGGCTAGAGCCAATTGTGTTAATGTGTGGAGAATGACTGGAACAAAATCTTGTGCAGGATACTTTGGGAGCAGATCTGTACACAGCTCCTGAACCTGTGCAAAAGCAATTAGTGTATTATTAATGGGATGGTGGACAAGGAGTTGGTTAGGTACGATTTGATGCAATGAGAGCTCACCATAGCGGCAGTGGAAGTGTCATGATGCATATGCTGCAAGATGGGAATAAGTTGCAATTTCATATGGGCTGGGGTTGTCAAGCCTTGAATCATGTCCGACATTTTATTACACATGCTGAGGGCAAACGTTCTAGAAAGAATGCAAACACAGTGTTACTGACAGAAGTACATGGCTAATTATTCTCTGAAACCAACCAATTATATCAGTTACTTACTTAGACTGCGCAGCAAATTGATTGGCAGCATAAATTGCTGCTTCCACCTCCACAGAATCGTGGCTGTCTAAACTTCTTCGAATACTGTGGTGCACTTGTTGTCTTTCAGGAATAATACCAGCAACACTGCCCAAAGTTCTGAGAGTAAGAGCCCGGGCCACCTGTGAAAGCCAGCAAGCTATTAATCTGACCTGTTCTCCCCATCAATACTGCAATACATGATAGAATAAGTGTCATTACCGGGTCATTTGAGTGAATAACACTGAAAACTCTTCTCACAAATTCATCCACATTTAATATTTTGTCTAAGTGCTTTTCACTCTGTTGACAGACTCTGAGAACCCAGAATCGTAAGAAATTACTTCTGTAAATGGGCAGAAGGGTTTATATGTGAAATACAAGCTCAACGGCAGCACAGTGAATGTAATTTATTTAGCAGATCTTACCCTACTCTGAAAACGTCAGCTAACTTGAGAAGTGAGGAATTTATAAGAATGGGAAAAGGATACTTCTCAAAGAGACGAGGGAATCTGACGATAGCTTCACACTGCTCTCCAATTTTGGAAGAACGCAAACCTACATGGAGGAAAAAAAAACGAAAAGTCCATGTAAAATTTGACGGAAGTGAGATATATTGTAGACATAGTAACAAAGCAATCGGTTTTCTGAAAAGGTAAACAAAAACACTAGGAGATCATAACCTTTGTCTAGTTCTGTCAACGCCGAATTTGCATCTTGTTCTGGCTCACCAAGACCAACGTCATTGAATGAATTGACGCGGTAACCCAACATTTTGTTAATATATAATTTTTCTTGATAAATAAACGCACATTATTCAGAAATGAAAGATGTGGTGTGTACTTCGTTCACAACTTCCCGTGCCGCTCCGCTATTCACAGTATAGGGGAGGGGCGGGGGGCGGGGAACGGAAATCGGCGTCGGCTGCTTTATGTACCCTCTTCCATTATTCACAGGACAAAAGGCATAGGCTCTGTTCTGCTCGCTCCGAACGCTCCAAAGAAACTGTCAAACCACACGTTTGCCTTTAAGCCGAGATTTTGCTTCAGTTTGGTTGAGTGTTTCGATAGTTTTACTGACTGTATATGTGCAATGTTCTTGAATGTTTCGAAGTATTGAATTTGCCAAACCAACTTATAAACTCATCAACATGACGAGGCTGACAGTTGTCTGACTCGCCTGCACCTTTCAGTTTCAATCACAGTTTTAATATATTTGAACTCAGTACGAAGAGTCATTACTAGTCATTTTCAGCACATATCTTTTAATTGAAAAGTACTAAAAGCAGTTGAAGGAGCATCCTTCCGCCTATGAACCGAGACACTGAGGTGAGATTTTCTGGGATTTCCAAACTGTTTCCCTGTTGATTTTCCCATTTTGGGGGTTCCCAAATCCCTCTTACCCCGCCTCCAAAGCCAAAGCCCGAAGCTGGCTTTTAGTTTTTCGACCTCAGATTCAGTTTTGGATGAAAGTAAGAGGCCTTCAACTTAGCTCTACTTGAAAATTGTTTCAGGCTTCATCACAGCCTCATCTCAGAAATCAGTATGAGTGTTTACTCTGAAGACGAGATCCTCTGCAATGCGTTCAGGGTTCAAGTTAATGTAAACAATGGGCACAATGGTGAACTGGATAAGAAGTCCCCCATTGCCCGAAGCAGCTGTAATGTAAGAATGACTGAAGTGCCCTTCGAAATCTCCAGCAATAATGTTCTAAATTGGCCTGCATAACTGTACATTGTTTGTTTCAGGCAAAATATAATGTTCCTAGTGCAAATTTTACATCCTATGATTTCCCTTCAAACACTGTCTCTTCCTGTTGTGTTGCTGAGACGAGTAATACATTGACAGCTCAGACTGCTCGTCGTCTACAGGAGCTAGAAACAGAACTTAGAAATGAACAGGAAAGAAGAGCCAAGGTCGAGAGGCAGCTGGCACAATGCTTGCAGATGCTAGCGGACCTCAGAGGTGCTCACAGCCAATGTCCTATTCAGGTAACAACCTTATCCAGACTACCACTTTAATTCAGTTCTTGTTTGGCTTAATCTTCATCATGGTTGTTGTTTGCTTGCTTGCAGAGACACTTTGACGAGTTGCCAGAAGAAATCGCAATTACAATATTTTCCTATTTGAGTGTACATGACCTTGTAGATGTTGTGAGTAAAGTGAATAAGAAGTGGAACCGCCTGGCACATGATGTCGTACTTTGGTCGCAAATGTCACTTGATAACCACGACATTAACGACATCATGAAATTGATGAACTTTGCCCCCTGTCTCCGATCTGTCTGCATTCCATCCGAGCAACTGTTTGTGCATGATGATGCAGAGGATACAAGTCTTCAGGTAAGATGCTGGTGTTGTCGGTTGTGTTTGCTGAATGGCGAGTTAGTTCTACGTTCCACGGTACTTAACATTGGTTTTGCCTTTGCAGGTGTTGACTCAGTCGCCCTGCCGGCTGCGCTCGCTGACGCTGCCCGACTTCCAGCCCATCTCGCTGCGCATGATCCGCAACCAGATGGGCAACCTGCGCCACCTGCAGCTCAACTCGTGGTGGGACAACAGTCGCAGTGAGTTCCGCGACGACATGTGGACGGCCATCTTCGAGCTGGACCTGGTGTCGCTGGCGCTGCAGGAGTACGACGGCGGCAACAGCTACTTCCACTCGGTGTCCCGGCCGGTGCCGGGCCAGCTGACCAGCCTCCGCCACCTGGACCTGTACTGCAAGCAGGTGCCGGGCGGCATCCTGAGCGCGCTGCTGGAGGCCTGCAAGAACTCGCTGGAGACCGTGGCGCTGCCCCCCAAGACCCTGGGCGCCGACGTGGCCCTGCTGAGCAAGTGCCCGCGGCTGCGCGAGGCCAACGTGCCCTTCCTCCGCGAGGTCTGCGCGCTGGAGGCCAACCCCATGCTGGAGCTGGTGGAGATGAACGCCGAGTGGGTGGCCGAGACGGAGATCGAGTCCATCGTCAACGACGTGGCGTGCTTCCTGCACATGCCGTCCGTCGTGAACCGCCTGCGGACGCTCTTCTTCCAGGTAGGGGCCGTCATGGCCGTGGTCGGCCCGCCAGCCCGTCGGCCAGGGAATGCCTAAGTCTTTTTTGCTTCCTCCACAGGGCATGCCAGTGCAGTGCCGGCAGCTGCTGCACGCCACGGCGGGCGTGCGCGGGCTGCGCTACGTCCGCATCCACAATTTCGGCGAGCCCGAGGTGGTGGACGGCATCCTGGAGGTGCTGGAGGGGCTGCCCGACCTGGAGCGCTTCGTGATCGCTACGCTGCCGCCGCCCGCCGTGCTGGACGCCATCGGGGCGCACTTCTGCCCCAAACTGAAGGAGCTGTGCTTCATCGGCGCCTGCTCCGACGACAACTACGGGTGCCGCATCCCCGCCATCAAGCGCCTGCTGCAGCACCGGCCGCAGCTGCACGTGTTCCTGGACCTGGGCCTCGGCGTCGTCCGGCACCTCGAGGGCGCCTACCCCGACTGCCTGCGCGAGCACAGGACCGTGTGCAGCGACGAGAGCCGCTGGCACCGCGTGCACCCCGTGCTGGTGAACCACGAGCCCGACAGCTGCACCTGGTGCCGCTACAACGTGGAGGCCTACGCCACCGTGGCCGACATGCGCGGCAAGCTGGACGTGCAGCCGGTCCAGCACCATGAGTAGCAGCCAGGGCCTCGGACTCAGCCCTTAGGGCGTGTCGCTTCTTGTATGTGGTAGCAATCCTCAACAGCACTCTGCTTAACGTAAGATTAGAAATGAAATTTTAATTTTAAAGATTCAAAACAATTGTCGCAAAATGCTCTTAATGCTGATGAAACTGAGACTTCTAGAGTCTGTTTCAGCTGATTTTCTGACCCTTGTTAAAGACTGATGGTTTTATGTATTTAATTTTTTTCCCAATCCCGAACTTGTGTTATATACCCTTCATGTAAACATATAATGTTGGAGGCATGGATGGCAGCTGGAGAAGTTTACAGTAGGAGCTTTTTGCCTTGTTTATTGTGTGACAATTCCTCTTCATTTTTGTGTTTTCTTTTTTAAATTTTGTACATAGAAATTGTTTTTAATGCATTTTTTTTTCAAAACCAAAATGTATTAAAGGTTTTAAAGGTAATAACCTACATCATTTTCTCTATTGAAGCATATATATATCTGCAGACTTTAGTGATAAGGTGTAGTTTCTTCTTATCTAGTCATTAAATTAGGAGTTACAATTTCAAACAAGAAGCCTGCTGTAATTTTTCCTGTATTAGTAAATGAACTTCTTGTGTAATCATAATTTATTATACTTACAATCAATCTTTGTTCATTGTTACCATATTTACTTATGACTCTACTTTTGACTAAATCCACTTTAGGTATTATATATCAGTATTTTACATTTTGGTGCAGAATACTCTCATGTACCTGGACAACACATTCCTTGTTTGTGCATGCCTTGTCACTTTTTCCTTATTGTATGTATGATGTGAACAAAATCAATTATAAATATTAAATATGGAACCAGAAAAAAAAGCCTGTTTTGTGTCACTTTTATCTTGTAATGAAGCTTCCAAAGTTGCTCATGCAAAACTGAAGGGATTACAATCGCTGCACTGCACATTGCAGCATTCCAGATGTTGCTCCAGTGACTTTCGTTGTTTCATGCAGTCTGTATCAGAATGAAAGCAGCCACCGTACCGAGTCAGGGTAATCTCCTTCAGATTCTGCAAACCGCAAGCTTGAAGCAGCTGAAATAGAGGTGCAAATTTCTATGTAATTGTGCACTGCTTCTTTGTACTAAGCAAACTAGTTTAGTTACCGAACTTTTGAACACGGAACACACCTGTGCTAGGTCGCTGCAAGTTTTGGGCCAGCCTGGTGCGTTGTGCTGATCCGATGGGGTGCCAACATTGAGAGTCAGCTTTCTAAGAGATCTTCTATTGGCCCTCAGCATTGAGACAGTAGTTTCCTTTGGGAGGCCACGCACTTCTAGGCGTTCTAAACCCCTGTCTTCCCCAGTAACTCTAAAAAAAAAATTTAATGTTATTTATTTTTACAAAAAAAATTCTCTGTGAAAAGTGGTGAAGGAATGAACCGGAATGCTCGTCCCTACCGTGTGCCCGTGTTGGGCCCTCGGTTGGGCCCGTCGGGCCTTGCGGGGTAGATGTAGGGGTCCTTCTCGAGCCCCGGGTCCCAGCCGGAGACGTGCAGCGCGTGCAGCAGGGGCATGTTGCCGACGGCCTGCAGGGCCTCGCGGTCGGCGGTGCTCACTTCCAGCTCCCTGAGGTGCTCCGCGTGGAGGGCGAGCAGGCCGTGCGTCCAGTCGGAGTCCCGGTGGCACATCACCCCGGTCAGCCGCCGCAGCTAAGCAATCAACAAAGGTTGCGAATCAGAATTCCACCAAACAGCAGTGGCGGATCCAGAAATGACTCCGGAGAGAGAGGGGGGAGGAGGCAAGGCAGCAATAATTGCCTACCAACAGGGGGTGATGCGCGAACTTGCCAACTCCCCCTTCTTTTTCTTCAGGTCTCTGGATCCGCACTTATTGCGGTGCAGCCGCCGGGAGTCCGGCCGGCCTGCTCGCTTGCTTCGCTTGCCTTGCTGCGGGAGGCGAGTAGCGCGCGCTTGCGGATGACGCGGTCCTCGGGGCTGATCTGGTTGATCCAACACACGTCCAGGCTGTGCAGCCGCGGCGCGAAGGACACCACCCGCGTGAAGGCCTCCGTGGCCATGCCGTGGCACTTGAGGCGGCGCCGGCGCCAGAGCTGCTCGCTGGCCGCGACGCGACGCCAGTGGCGGCACACCTGCCCGGCCGACACCAGGTCGTCCAGGTTGTCCGCGGCCACGTACTCGAAGACGCGCAGCAGCGCCAGGTCGGGCAGCGTCGCGGCCAGCAGGCCGGCGTCCGCCTCGTCGCTCATCGTCGTCGTGGTCCCCGTCTCTGTGGACGAGCACCCCCGCCGTACTGGCTGGCTAACACTGCATTCACCAGCTGCAGCGAAGCTGCACCCTCCCCTACCCCCCACCCAATCCCCCTGTGGCCCGAATCTCACTTTTTCTTGTCGCCGTGCCAAGTAGCTAGCTAAACATACCGCCATGCTGGGGATGCTGGGGGTCGGGAACCTTTCAAGCGCCGCTTCCCTTTTCACAGTGTGTACTTCGGCATAGCGCACAAGGTAGACCAGAGCCGAGGGTCACCCGGCCGGACTTCCCTCCGCCCTCCCCGGACCCCGGACTCTTCGGGGTGTACCCGAGAGATGGCGCTGGCGGCACTTCGGGGACGGGGTCTCTCGCTGAGTGCGCCGGGTGTGTATGTGGTTGGGTACCCGGGTAAACGACAACACAAGGCAACTTTGCGCAGTGGCGATATTGTAACCAATGAGGTCTAAACGAGGTGCAATTATTGCTAGTTGAAAACTTATACCAATGCCCCGCTGGAGAGACTAGAAATAGTCTCTTCTGGCAATTTTTGAAAGCCCCCTAGGGGGCTGACAAACTGACTCGTGTCCTTCCCTCATGACTGAGGAAGCGCAACTGGCATAGTAAACGAGGAAACACGACCATTCTTCTTAGTCATCGCTTTTGGCATAAATCTATGGGGAAAAAATGACCTTTATGGCCGAATCAGTTATTTTGCCGCGTTCTTTTCACGCGGAGTCTTTTGATAAGGCACTGTTGGCAATACCACTTTGCTGCAAGCTGTGAAGAACGCGGGCGCGCTACTCGCAGGATAGCTCTCTATCGTTTGTTTGTGTTTGACAACTGTTTGTCGAAATATTACCGGTTTTGGTTTTAAGTCACCGGTTATAAGTGTACAACTGATAGGTATTTCGAAGAAATAAATAAAATGTTTTACCATGTGAGTGTTTAACTGTGAAAATGTGTAAATAGACTGGGAACCAAGTGAAGGAGTCTCTTTCTGAGGTTATAAACATGCATCTCTGTTATACATTATTTTACAGATATCTTTGGAACATGAAATCCTTCTCCATCCGAGGTACTTTGGACCCCAGTTATTAGACACAGTCAAACAGAAACTTTACACTGAAGTTGAAGGAACTTGCACTGGAAAGTAAGTTGACTATTGCGCTCTGATGTTTGAACGTTTGTTATAATGGGTAAAAGTGCTTGAGTCAAAGTGCTCAGCTGAAACTAATTTTGTATTACACAGTGTTTTATGTGTTCTATGTTATATGCTTACATTGGCGTGTTTCGTAGGTACGGTTTCGTCATAGCAGTGACTACGATCGATAATATTGGGGCAGGTATCATTCAGCCTGGGCAAGGTTTTGTTGTATACCCAGTGAAATACAAAGCCATCGTGTTTCGACCTTTCAAAGGAGAGGTTCTAGATGCTGTTGTTACTCAAGTAAACAAGGTAAACCAGACTGTTGCTACCTTGAGGAAGCAGTTTGATACAATTGGCAGAGCTTTGTCAAACTAAAATTTAACTTGCTGTCATTGTTTTTCAGGTGGGCATGTTTGCAGAAATTGGACCTCTTACGTGCTTCATTTCTCATCATGTAAGTTTTAGACCCATCCATCTTTGTTTCATGAGTTTCGTATATTATTTAGTTTGACTAAATATTGTGTTGGTTTCGACAGTCAATCCCAGCAGACATGCAGTACAGTCCAAACTCAAACCCTCCCTGTTATAAATCCAAAGATGAGGTTAGTTCCAACTTAAAATGCACCTGAAAACTTCAATTTGTGCAAACCTGTCTTTGAAATAAATCATCGCTTCTTTTGTAGGATGTAGTGATTCAGCAAGATGACGAAATCCGATTGAAGATTGTAGGAACTCGAGTGGATGCTGCTGGCATTGTGAGTTAAGCTTGCAAAAAATAGTGTCATTTAAAATTTTACTTCACCCTTTTACACCTCATTGTCTTGTTTCAGTTTGCTATTGGAACCTTGATGGATGATTACCTTGGTAGGAATTGTTTCCTGGTTTTGTGGTCATATCAAGTTGAGAAAATTATCAGTACTAGGAGAGTCCTTACCTTCAAATGTTTACTGTTAATTTTCTTTACTTCATACCACACAAGTTATGGCTGAAGGTAAGCACTGCACAAGTCTAATTTTGCTTTCAATTTTCAGGTTTGGTCTGTAGCTGAGTTATGGAAGAAGAGTGTCTTATTTTTTTTTTCAACAGTTTCTGTGAATTTTAGTATTTTAAGAAAGGGTATTTTGTTTGACACGCAGTTCAATCTTGACATTCAGGCTCATGACTTAAATATGTGAATAACTTGATGTCACTTTTGTACTCATGTAACATGCATTAGGACTTTTCAATCATTGTTGTGATTCATCTCATTGTGTATGTGTGGATATTTCTTATGTTTTAATCTGTACAGGTAATTAAAAAATTATGTATACGTATGGAAGAGAACTTATCTTTGTTAACTCTTAATTTACTCTAAATCCTTCTGCTTTTGTACAAATTTGTACGCCTTTGCTTGGTCAAGCACCTGAAAATGAGCCCCAAGCTTTTTCAGTTTTCGAAAATTGGCGCCCGCCTCAGGATATACTGCAGTTCTTGCGCATACTCGGTGCTTCGGTATTGGCAGGCAGGGCATGCGCAGTAAGGCCCCTGTGCCGCGGCTGCGGACCCACTGCGGGCAAATGGGGCGGGACTTGGCCGTGAGGTTGGCAGTGCCGATGTCACTACTGGCCGTCGTTTTACCCAGAAACCTCTGCTGCAGTATTATCTGCTAGCAGACGAAGGTGTATTGAGTGTACCGTGCGATGTGGTGACGGGGCATTGCGGTAAACAGCTTAAATATAAATGGATATCGCGGTAACCGCGCATTCGAAATGAAGAAGTTCACTTTTAAAGGAGTGTTGGATGGATTTCGGTCCTCTGTGAGTCAGCAAGCTCGCGCCGACCAGGAAATTGCAGAAACACTTCGGCCGGATAACTTTCAAGTCGCAAAGGTAGGCCCAAATTCTCTTGACAGTCTTCCTGTTGGCGAACTGCGGGTTGTTTGCAGATTTAATTCTTCTGTATAAATCGGGCGAAAAAACGAAACGGGTCTGTTTTCTGTTCTTGCATGGTTTCTGTTATGAAACAGCGATGACACAGTGCGGACATACGGGTTGTTGTGCTGGGCTGCTGGCCCCACAACCTGTCATCTGTTGTTTTGGTGTGCACGCCTACGCCTACGCCCCAGCGCCTCATGACCGACCTTTGCGTACCCGAGCGGGCAGCCTGTGCGCCTTTTTAACGCGGGGGTACTTTGGGAGTCAACTGAAGGTTACTGACCTACGTTCAGTGAATCAACCTGTGAATACCTAGGCAAAAATGATTTAGTGAAGGGTGTGACTTTTAGGTTATCATGGATGCTGTGTCATTTCATTGACATCTTGTGCCCATTTAATTGGAATTATCTAATATTCATTAAATTTTGTGGCATTTTTCCCGTTGTCACCAAGATTTTTGGCTTATTTTATAGTTCTTCGCGTGAGTTAGCATCAAATTACCTTGAAGGTCATTAAAATTGTGTCATTGCCAAATTGCTTCAACTGTCAAAAAATAATTATAGATTCTGCTCTCCTCATTCGATTCAATGCTGCACAAGTGTTTTTTGCTGTGTGTGTAGTCCACTGCCACTGTCTTACCACACACAGCTGGCTATGCTTTTTCTTTGTCCTTGCACCTGTGAAGGTAAACAGTACACTCCCTGTCAAAAGTTTTTTTTTTCTCGTTTCGCTTTGGTGCCCTTGACTGTCCGAAGGCGCGCTCGTGCGTGGGGTTCGGGGTTCGACGCGGTTCCATCCCGTTGAGAGGAGCGCGAGGCGGTGCGAGGCGAGGCACAGTGGGCCAGAAGACCTGCGGAGCGGCCAAAATTCTAGACGCGTTTTGAGCTCCAGAGTCGCTAAATGGGACTCGAACCGAACGTGTGACCCCACCAATGGATTCCTCGTTCGGAGAGCAATCCATTGGTGGGGTCACACGTTCGGTTCGAGTCCTGCTTAGCGACTCTGGAGCTCAAAACGCGTCTCGAACTTTGGCCGCTCCACCGGTCTTCTGGCCCACTGTGCGAGGGTCGGACGGGCGGAAAGGCGTAGTGGAGCTCCCGGGAGAACAGAGACCCTGGCCATAAGAAACAGGCGGTTTGGTATCACAAACTCACGGGAGGAGAGGAGGGGTAGTGCCAGACCTAAGGCCAGGCCTACTCTGGCGGCCCTATCTGCGGGGGAGTACACTCCCAGCCAAAAGGGGGTCGTCCTCTGCAGCGTGAGGCGAACCGGGACCAACCAACCGACTCGGGGAAATTCGCCATCCTCATTTCCACTGCTCCCAAGACGGTTGCGACGGCGGGAATATTATTTAGATTTCCGTCAGCACGGTTCGAAATTGGGAGAGCGTCGTCAGTGTTAGCGGGCAGGCCGGGCGGGCAGGATGATTGCTGGCGAGGAAACGTGACTCGCTGAGCCGCTCATTTGTTGGTCGCGGCGTTAACGTGTGGGAGTGGCACGGAGTGGCAGGCAGGTGAGAAGTGAGCGCTTCTTTGCTGACTGTACCACTTACTGCGCACTTACACCACGATGAAAGCAGCGCCTCTTCACAGTCGCCTTTTTCGCTTTCTCTGTCTCTCTCGCACTCATGGGGCGCCCCTTGCAGAGACAGCGCGACGAAAACGACTCTCGGAATCAGTGTGCCGCGCCGCGCATCCAGACCGCCACACTCTGAAATTTTAAGAGGCATCCGGAAGTGGGTCGCGGAAGACGCTTTCCTTCCCTTTGCTTTCGGTCACACCATTTGGAAGCGGCTCGTCTTCATTCCTCATACATGGAGCGTCTTGTGTTTCTTGGACCATTAAACATGCAGGCTGCAATCAGCCTACGAGCACACGGGTCTTTGTGCGGCCGGGCCGCCGGGCCGCAGCGCCGCCGCGACACTGGCGGGACTGGCGAGACTCTCGTGGACTCGTTTCCGCGGTTCCTCCCGGAGGACTCCAAGCAAGGCTGGACCGCGGTGCCCCGCCTTGGCCGGGCCCGAGGGAGAGGGACGCACAGTTGGCCGAAAATTACCACCATTTGCAAATGTCTTCCTCGTAACGATGTTTTGCATCTTGGAGGAGAAATCACGTAAATGGAGTCTGCGTTTGTTCAAAGGCATCATAATAATCTTTTCAAATTTAAGTTTTGTCATTGAGTGGAAAAATGAGACATAACCGAGGCCCCGCCCGCCATGCCCCGCCCCTACCCGCCCCCCCCCGCCCCGCCCCGCCCCGCCCCGCCCCGCCCCGCCCCGCCCCGCCCCGCCCCGGCTCAGGTGTTTCCGAGGCGTCCCGCGGTGTCGCTGTGACGGTAATGGTGAATCTGGCGACGGGAATGAATGCCGGCCGTAATTAATGAGACATTAATGAATATCATCAATTTAGGAAAAATTAGTATGCATTGGGTGGTAGGGGTGCGCAGGGCCCGGCAGGGCGCGGCCTCTAATCAATGTATAGTGGACGAGGCCCTTCATCAGGACGGCCCTTTTGAAGGGCTCCACGCGGTTTCTTCGAGCCGGGTTCGGGGTTCGGACCCGGGCAACGAATCGCCCCTCCCGGTCTGCGTAGGCCCGCCCTCCTTGGTGCCTTCGCTCGGTACCCTACACGGTTAAAACGGAGCCTGGTTTTCCCAGGAAGCCTATGGTAGAGACATAGGCGATTTCCAGGGAGTTCCTGGGAAAACCAGGTTACGTTTTTACCGTGTAAACCCCACTAGAACGACTTTGCTCATGCGCTGACGACCCCATGGAGTGTCGGGTGTGCGGAGTAACGAGTCGGAGTTTACAGTGTGGGGTTTGACCCGGGGCGAACCGCTGAAACACGAATGTGCGTCGGTCTGATCGCTGCGTTCGGGACGGTTCGGGACGGTTCGGGACCCACCCCGAAGCTAGCCCAACTTGTCAACTAGGCGCTCGCGGTTTGCGCTGGCCGCGCCCGCCGCGCCGCCCCTACCGTCGGCGGCACTAAACGGGACGGAGCGTTTTGAGCGACGCTGGCGGCGGTGCCCCTTCTTTTATCTTTCATGAGGGTAGCGGTGCCAGCCCAGCCCCGCCCCGCCCAGCCCAGCCCGCACCCTGTCTGTACCACTCGCGCCCTGACCTGCACGTCAAAAAAGTAGAGAGAAACAAGAAAAAAGTTGAAGGTTAAGAGTTGGTGGAGGACTGCGCTCCGCAAGGCTCCGCAAGGCCACTGTAATGAGCCGGCAAGTTTTCATGCCTGGCTGTTAATGCCCCGTGTGGGGTCGGCAAGGCTCGGCACAACGCTCGGCCCAAGCTTTCCGACGACTTTGCAACTTGAAATATCTGCCTGACGTCACAAAAGCCCGTCGGTCCGCATAAACAAGGGTTTCCTCCTTCTGGGCCGCGAGTCCGGCCGAGCCGAGGCGCGGAGGGCCGCGGCAAACAAGCGAAACAACTTAAGGGAATCTCGGAAAAGAAGGGAAGAGAAATCCACGACGGCGGAACAAAAGTCGGGAAACAAAAAAATAAAATGCTGCTCCCGCTGCGCCGCGGTTCGATTCGGTCCAGTGACGCGGCCGCTTGTTGTTGCCTCGCCAAAGTGCGATTCGAACGGGGATGAATCGAAGGCCGTGAAAGGCTGCTGCTTCGTCGTCTCTCTCGCACCTCGACCGACCGACGCAACGAGTGCGAGAGAGACGGAGAGCTCCGTTTGAGCCGAGCGATCCAGAAGAGTCGTCGCTCTGTCTCTGTCGCACTCACGGGGCTCTCCTTAAGGGTGCGAGAGGGACAAAGCGACCCTCCGACGCTCTCGGCTGGGGGCGCTGCACAGTGGGCCAGCAACCGGCGCAGGCGGCCAAAATTCCGGACGCGTTTTGAGCTCCAGAGTCGCTGAACGGGACTCGAATCGAACGTGTGACCCCACCAATGGATTGCTCTCCGAACGAGGAATCCATTGGTGGGGTCACACGCTCGGTTCGAGGCCTTTTTAGCGACTCTGGAGCGCTAAACGCGTCTAGAGTTTTGGCCGCCTACACCGGTCTTCTGGCCCACTGCGCGCTGTGCGCGGGGCGCGGGGCCCCGGCACCTGGAGCCTTCTTGGCGTTCCGGTCCAGTAAGTGCCCACCCAGAGCCAAGCCCGGCGCGGCCATGCCCCGCCAGGCCCCGCCAGGCCGTTCGTGCGGATGAATCCACCGTTATCCTGCAGGAGAGGGGGACGGTCAGCTTGAAGAGGGTGCAGAGCTAGGGGCGGGGACACGGGGCCTGTCCTGCATCCTGATCGGACACGCCGGCCCCCCCACGGCACGGCACGGCACGGCACGGCACGGCACGGCACGGCACGCGGTGGCAAGGGGTGTGAAAGACAG